CCCCCCAGGGGGCTGCGTCACGGAGACGGACAAGGACGCTGAAGGGAAAGGACGCAAGGGAGCGTGGGGCCCAGGCCTGCTGCCTCGGGGCGGCCGACGAAGCTAGACGGGGGCTCCCCACGGCTCCCAGGAGCCACCTGAGAAAACCTGACCTGGTGTCTCGAGAGCCCGCCCAAGCGGGAGGTCTGACCCAGGGCTGCGGCCTCGACACCCGCTGGCCGGCTGCAGGGTGGAGGCGCCCGGAGCAAGCCCACTGGGCCGGGCCCCCCACACCCGCCCACGGGCGGGTCACGCAGCGCGGGCAGAGAGAGTCAAGGCGGGCTGAACTCGGGTGCCTGTGCCGGGAGCCCAGGGACAGCGGGGGGCAGCGTCACTCACCCCCCGCTGCTGCTGCTCCAGCTTCTGCTGCTGGACCTGCTTGTGGTTGGTGATGACCTGGCGGATGCCGTTGACGAAGCCGCCCTGGTCGTAGGGGATGAGGCCCATGAAGATCTTCTTCTTGGACGAGTACAGCAGCATGAGCACGCGCACCTCGCAGGGGGAGATGTGGGGGAACAGCATGCAGCCGGCCTGGGGGGGCAGGGCGTTCAGGGGCGCAGGCACCCCTCCGCGCCGACCGTGGGCAGCTCGAACCCCAGGTTCGACCTGGGCCCCCGCTGCATGTGCCCTGGAGCTGGCCTGGGATCTAAGTTTCGGGGTGTGGGTTCTACAGGGCACACCCCCCTTGCACCTCTCCTATGCCAGCCTCGCCAGGGGACCCGGCCCTCGTGGCTCGAGCCCGAGCAGTCAGCAGGGCCTGGGCCAGGGTTGGGGTGCAGCCCGGGGCCGGCACAGCTCTGCGAGCTCCAGCCTGAAGACCTAACAGGCCCCCGCTTCCGAGCCCGTTTCCCGCTGTAAAACCTCCGGCCGACGGTGCACGCATTAAACACCTCCGAGTGCCGCCTGTGCGAGATGCCAGCGTCTCCCCATGGGTACGGGGGACAAGGGCCCCTTTGCGCCCGGGAGAACACGACCACACCCCAACCGGCACCTCCGATCTGGCGCGGGGGCGTGTCCATGAGGGGGACCCGCCCAGTGGGCCCCGGGGCCCAAGGGGCCTCAGCACTCAAGCACCCTGGAGGCAGGGCAGGGCTGTCCCAAAGGGCAACAGAGACTGGAGGGGACCCCACGGCCAGCCCTCGGGGCACCTCACACCGGGGCACCTCTGGGCTGCAGCAGCTTCACTTGCTGCTTTGACCCTGCGGGACTTGGCAGCCCTCAGTCACCCCGGCGCCCCCCACGCTGCTCCCCCACACAGCCAGGCCAGGCGCCCGGGCAGAGGGAGGGCGAGTCCCGCCACAGCACTCGCGCGCCCGCACTCCCGGGCAGGGGCGCCTCAGTTGCACCAGAACACGAGACCCCGCTGGGCACCCCACTGGCTGCACCCCCACTCACGAAGCCGTTGCCCATGACGCGGCAGAGGCCCTTGAGCGAGTCGCAGTCTCTGTTGGTGAAGTGGAACTGCGCCAGCTGCGAGTTGCGGAACAGGGGGCCCAGGGTGGTCTGGGGGTGAAACGGGACAGCTGGGTCATGGCTGGGGTGCCGGCCAGCGGGGGGGGGGGGCTGGGGCTGTGCCTCACCAGCAGCTGCTGCGGGATGAGCTGCATGATCAACTTCTGGGGCCACTGGTCAGTCTCCCTGGGGGGAGGAGAGGGTCAGGGGGGCCCGGCGCTGGCCCCGCCCCCACCGCCCGCCGGCCACTCACAGGTTCTCGCCCTGGTTCACATAGGCCTGGCAGGGGAGGGTGCGCTTGAGCTTCGCTGCCGAGTCCGAGTAGGGCCTGCGCTTCTGGGGCGGGAGGGCAGGTCAGGGCCGCGCAGGCCCCGCGCCTCCCGTCAGCCCGCGGGCGCCCCCCGCTCACCTCCTGCCACTCGAGGACGCCGCTCCAGGCCAGCAGCTTGTTGCTGAGCCGGTGCTCACCCACGGCCAGGCCCCCCAGGGCCAGCACGGGCGAAGAGGGCGCGATGGGACCCAGCGCCCCGAAGACCCGCGCGCCGGGCTGCGGCAGAGGTGGGGGACAGGTTGGAGGCCGCCAGCCCACGGACGCCGCTGGCCAGGCCTCCCGCCAAGTCCGGGTCCGTCCCCCTCGCCAGCTCGGAGCCCCGGGCCCACCTGCCCTCCCCGCACAGCCCAGCCACAGCCGCCAGGCGAGGTGGTGCCCAGATGGGTGGGGGCACCTGGAGTGGGCAATCAGGGCAGCTGGCGGGGCTGCAGCGCCCTGGAACATGCCAGCAGGAAGCCACGGAGCCGTACACGCCCCCCCAGCGAGCGTCCCCAAACCCAAAGCACGCGGAGCCCGCAGGAGCCTTGCAGGAGCCGGGGGCCCTTGCTGGCAGCAGCCCTGGCGCCAGCCCACAACCTGACCGCTGGGCCGGCCCCAGGGGCTCCGCACCCGCCAGGAGGCACACTGGGGTGCGGGGCGCAGGTGTCCCTGAGAAGGTGCAAGTGAAGCAGCTGGGGGAGCCTTTGGCCAAAGGCTGAACTTGCAAAGGACATGGGGGGCCACCCAGGGGCGCTCAGCACATGCTGATCAGCTAAGCCCTGGGCCAGTCCCGCCGGGGCTGACCACCAGGGCTTTGGGCCCAGCGTCCAGACCAGGGCCGTCTGCTGGGGAGCTGACTCTGGGGAGGGCCACCCAGGGGGGCAAGGTGGCCTCCTGAAAGTTCAATTCGACTTTAGGGGGCCGGGAGGTGCCTCTGCACATCGGGGGAACCATGAAGGAGGGAAGGCAGCGGGGATGCCGAGTTAGGAAGGTGCCCACGTTCCAAACTCAGGCCGGTGCCCCCGCCCAGGGGCCCTGTCAGGTGGGCCGGGCGCGGGCAGCGGCTGACGGGGGCAGCAGCGGGCCCACAGGGCTGGGCTGGCGGGGCGTCGGGGTGCGCGGCGCTCTCGCTCCACAGACGCCTTATTTAGACTTTTTTGTAAAGAAGGTGGAGACTTGGTTCTGGGGAGCGCGCGCAGCCCGGGGTCTGCAGGACCGGCCGACGGTCTCGGGTCGGGGTGGCCCGGTGCCGCCCACG